TTACACATTTAAAAAACAGATCTAAAAGCAAATCTAATTTACTCAGGAACTTTTTTTCCAGAAATATTAGTAATATGTGAATGTAGCCTTAAGCAGAACTATTCTCCAACACCTGGTTGCATTTCCAGCATCTTTCAGATGTCAGTGGTGACTCGGAGTGAACACTGTATTGGCCATGGACTACATGCAATGTGCAAGAAAAGTTGCTGAAGAGACAGAAATATATATATATATTTTTTAACAGAAGAGACATGCAAAGCAAAAGAAAAAAAATAAAATAATTGAAAAAAAAAATTTTTTTACAGAAGTTTCACAAATTTATGTTTTTAGTAACTTCCTCCTCCAGTATTTTTTCTTTTTTTTACTATTTATATGTGAACTGCCTTTGTTTTGGACCATTTTGTTTGTATTTTATTTTTAACGTTCAAGCACTTTCCATTTTAAAGAATGGCATAAAGGGGTTGATTTACTAAAGACAAATAGACTGTGCACTTTGAAATTGCTCCAGAGCTTAGTATAGGAGGGGAAGCTCTGCTGACTTCCATCATCCAATCATGTGCAAGCAAAAATGCTGCTTTTTTTTTTATTTATTTTTCATGCATGGGATTGGGAATTCTTTGTAAAGAGAAGCATCACCTTGTTAAGCTCTGGAGAAATTGCAATGCACTTGCAAAGTGCACAGTATATTTGCCTATAGTAAATCTACCCCAATTAAATGATAATTATTCTTAAATTAAGTGGTAATATGTATAAATTTGATGTTACTGCCATTACAGAACTACTACTACATAACTGACTGATCTCCATTAAATTAATGGTTATTTTGTTATGGATATTACAATTATATTTTTTTTGCACTTACAACTTTGACCACTTGGTGGGACTCAATACATCAGTTATAAAAAATCTCATAAAAACAGTGCTTCACTCTATATAACCATAACAATAAACCAACATAAGGTGATATGTAAATAAAGTCAGTTAATTAAATTAAATGAAAAAAAAAACCTCCACCAAGGTGTAGCACAGTGTAATAAAGGAGAATGGAGTCCACCACATAGATCTCTTATATGGAAAGTCTCTATATTTCATGAATTCACTCCACCGTGTTCTTTAGCTGACAGTCACCCCATCAGACTAAACACTCACCAGAGCATGGTGTATAATGGGCACACAATAATATCTTCCTCTTGGACACACAGCCATCACCGCTCAAAGAGATTCAGTAGGTCCAGTGCATGAATATAAAGCACAAACGCACCACATAGCGTAATTCTGTTTATAAATTTTATTTCCAATAACCCCCATAAAAAAACACTCTCATGGAAATAAAAACCAATGAGTATCAAAGGTATTAATGAAACACTAATCACCGATGTATTGAACCGCTGGCGTGTCACCACACTTCCGTGCACGTGCACAGCCTGCTGCTCCACTTCCGGGTAGGAGGAGAGTCAACGTCACATCCGGTGAACGTGCTGAAGTCACATACGGCCACGCCCTGATGTGTTTCATCATTACGACTTCCTCCGAGGGTGTGGACTATAGTTTTTTCACTGTAAACCAAGAAATCCTGGTCTTGTTAAATTGACACCTGCTGTTCCTGTGAATAATTCATGTGTATGGTAAGTGCAGTCAATCAGAGCTGTCCTAGCATGAATGGGCACCCCTGGACAGTGGTCAGAGGCCCCAGGTGCATTGGGGGCCCCATGACAATTTTGCATTACATCATACTTGCCAATTGTCTTGGATTTGCTGGGACAGCCACGCTTTCAACTAAGCTGTCCTGTGATGGCCATGTCCTGGACAGCGTCCCCCGGAATCTGTACTGTGCCCTCCTGATCCCAGTATTGTGCCTTCCTGACCCCCCCCCCCCCCCCCGTACTGTGCCCTTCTGCCTCCTCCCTGTACTGTGCCCTTCTGTTGATTAGTCTCTGATTTATGGCATTTTTTCTTATTGTTTAAAACTGACTTTATTAAAAGTATATGTTTAATTCTATCAACTATGTATACTTTAATTCCTGAGAGTGGGTGCGTATATTGAGGCAGGCTGGTGTGGGCCCCAGTGCATTACTTTGCCCAGGGGCCCATGATGCAATTAGAATGGTCCTACTGCTACTTGCTGTCCTGCCAGTTGATGTGATTTAGTAAATTATAGCAGAAAAACTATGGAGTGCAGAGATTTTGTTTCCTTCATGAATCCCATTAACACATTTGTATGACTTCAGTGTTTGATATCCGATAATATTCTTTATTCTGTAATATCTTGTGTTAAGTCTTTCACATGACAAATATGTTGTAAGATGTGGTTATTACCTAATATCTTTCAGGAAACGCTCTGTCTTTTCTTTGCTGCATGCACGGTAACATTTTTAAAAGCTGAACTACAGTTAAATTTTTTTTATGCAGTATGTAAGAGTAAGTTACTGTGTCCTCATTGGGGAAATTTCCTCACACTTACTGTCCTATTGACACCATCAAAAAAAGTAATACAAGGGTGCGGACGCCTCCCAACACAAAAAATGTTCTCTGTACCTATCTGTGAAATATTATTTGGACAGGAAGAGAGAGTAAATATGCCCGAAGGGGACACAGATGGCAGTAAAAAGAAAGAAAACAATAAAGACTCTTATCTGTCCCCACTAAAACTGGGTGGAATTAAGCGTTAATCTTTCACTCGGCTCAGATGCGATCCAAAAAGTGTAGATTTGTATGTAATCTATAAAGGCATTATTTCCAATGCTCGCTGTTCACATATATGTGGTACAACTTTGATCCAGTCCAAAAAAAGGATCCTGGGCAAGTTTACTGCAGGTGTGGTGCGAATTTAATCTCCTGCTACTCCCCTCAAAACTCGCATTCAATTCACACCTGTCACAGCAGAAATTGAGCTGTGCTAGCGCGCTGTGAAACCGCATCAGATTCGCACCACATCAGTGTGAACCGGCACTTAGGGTTTTTCCAGTATTGGGCAGAACATATACAGTATTTCTGACAGATACAAGCAGGATCCTTTTGTAGGGATCTAAATGTAAGACAGAGAAGCAGAAAAAGTAATTGATATAGCTGCCAATATAACAAAAAAAAAAGACGTAAATGGAAAAAATCTGGAGTGAAAATCTTTATGGCTGCTGTGGTGATTGGGATGTCTGCCTTTACATGCACATGAACTTATGGCAGTCTTAGTCTGTAGGGTTCAATATTGAGTTGGCCAACCCTTTGCAGCTATAACAGCTTCAACTCTTCTGTCCACAAGGTTTAGGTGTGTCTATGGGAATGTTTGACCATTCTTCCAGAAGTGCATTTGTGAGGTCAGGCACTGACGGCGGATGAGAAGGCCTGGCTTGCAGTCTCCACTCTAATTCATCCCAAAGGTGTTCTGTCAGATTGAGGTTGGGACTCTGTGCAGGCCAGTCAAGTTCCTCCACCCCAAACTTGCTTATCCATGTCTTTATGGACCTTGCTTTGTGCACTGGTGTGCAGTCATTTTGGAACAGGAGGGGCCATCCCCAAACTGTTCCCACAAGGTTGGGAGCATGAAATGTTCCAAAATGTCTTGGTATGCTGATGCCTTAAGAGTCCCTTCACTGGAACTAGGGGACCAAGCCCAACCCCTGAAAAACAATCTCACACCATAACCCCCCTCCACCAAAATTTACACTAGGCTCAATGCAGGCAGGAAAGTACCGTTTTCCTGGCAACTGCCAAACCCAGACACATCCATCGGATTGCAAGACAGAGAAACATGATTCATCACTTCAGAGAACACGTCTCCACTGCACTAGAGTCCAGTGGATGCGTGCTTTACACCACTGCATCTGATGCTTTACATTGCATTTGGAGATGTAAGGCTTGGATGCAGCTGCTCAGCCATGGAAACCCATTCCATGAAGCTCTCCATATACTGTTGTGCTAATTCTTCTGCACACTGTGCGCTTCAGCATGCGCTGCCCCGCTTGTGGCTGAGTTGCTTTTGTTCCCAGTTGCTTCCACTTTGTAATAATACCACTAACAGTTGACCCTGGAATATTTGGTAGCAAGGAAATTTCACGGATGGACTTATTACACAGGTGGCAACCTATCACGGTACCACGCTTGAATTCACTGAGATCCTGAGAGCGACCCATTCTTTCACAAATGTTTGTAGAAGCAGTCTGCATGCCTAGGTGCTTGATTTTTTACACCTGTGGCCATGGAGGTGATTGGAACACCTGAATCCAATGATTTGGAGGGCTGAACCAATATTTTTGGCAATATAGTGTATATATATATATATATATATATATATAATAGATTGTAAAATAGGTAACTGTAGTGGTAGGTAGTGATATTTTAGAAAATTACCTAAATAATATAATGATGACCCTTTCATCATAAAAGGTGTGATTGTGTCATCCTTCTACATTACTTAATGTGATACAGGCATATATAGCACGGACAGGGGCGGACTGACAACTCATGGGGCCCCCGGGCAATAGGGGATCATGGGGCCCCTGTGTCCTTGCCCAAATTTAAAAAAGCCTATGAAAAAGGTACCAGGAGCATCTCATGGGGCCCCCTACTGACCCCGTGCCCTCGGGCAGTGCCCAAGCTTCCAAATGGTCAGTCTGCCCCTGAGCACGGATAAAAAATCTATAGCATCATGATAAGCAGGACTTGTCACTAAAACAAAAAGTCTTTTTTCTAAGAAAGACACTTGTGCAGAGTAGACAGCGATTAATAAGTGTTTTTTCATGTATTTTTCTATTATATTCAACTATACAACAAAATAGTGCATGCTTAACCACCTCCCGCCCGCCATATAGTAATATGACAGGCGCAAGGTGGCTCTCTCTTTCTGGGAGGATGTCATATGACGTCCTCCTATTCTCACTGCGCATGCGCGGCTCAGGGAGCGCGCAGCGCGCGGCGATCGGCGGTGCCCTGTGTCCCTAGGACACAGCGGATCACCGATCACAGAAAGAGCCGAAGATGTCGGCTCGGTCATGTGATCAGCTGTGTCCAATCACAGCTGATCACATGTAAACAGGGAAATGTCGGTTATCGGCATTTCTCTCCTCTCGAGCTGTCACGCTGACAGCTCGAGAGGAGAGGAGAGCCGGTAATCGGCTTTCCGCGGAGGGGACATGTACACTGATCATCAGGGCACTGATGATCAGTGTGCCCTGATAATCAGTGTGGCCCCAGAAGTGCCACCTGTCAGTGTCCATCAGTGCCAGCAGTCAGTGCTCATCAGTGCCTCGTGCCAGTGCCCATCAGTGCCACATATCAGTGCCTACCAGTGCACATCACACATATCAGTGCCCATCTGAGCTGCCTTTCAGTGTCACCCATCAGTGCCAGTCAGTGCCACCTATCAATGCCAATCAGTGCCACCTATCAGTGCTGCCAATCAGTGCCAGTCAGTGCCGCCTATCAGTGCCAGTCAGTCCCACCTAACAGTGCCAGTCAGTCCCGCTTAACAGTGCCAGTCAGTGCCGCCTAACAGTGCCAGTCAGTGCTGCCTATCAGTGCTGCCTATCAGTGCTGCCAATCAGTGCCATGTATCAGTGCTGCCTTTCAGTGCCCATCAGTGATGCCTGTCAATGCCCATCAGTGCCACCTACCAGTGCCTCCTCATCAGTGCCACCTATCAGTGTCCATCTGTGCAGCCTATCAGTGCCCATCACTGCAGCCTCATTAGCACACATCAGTGAAGGAGAAAAATCACTTATTTACAAAATTTTATAACAAAAACTAAGAAAAAAAAACATTTTTTTTTTTCAAAATTTTCAGTGGTTTTGGGTTTGTTTAAGAAAAAATAAAAAACCCAGAGGTGATTAAATACCACCAAAAGAAAGCTCTATCTGTCACAAAAAAATGATAAAAATTTCATATAGGTACAGTGTTGCATGACCGCGCAATTGTCATTGCTGAAAGCTGGAAATTGGCCTGGGCAGGAAGGGGGTATAAGTGCCCAGTAGGCAAGGGGGGTTAAACAGTAAATATCTTATTTTTGAATATGAAAAACAGGCCAAAATTCAATGCAATGTCTTATTGTATCTCTAAAGTACGTATTTTTGAATCATTTTGGACGACCACATAATAGCTTTATTTTTTGCTCATATACAATGCTTCACAGAGGTATTAGCTTCATCTGGCTTTTGTACATTTTTGAAATGTTAGAAACCTAAAATGGATTTAATTGGGTTTTTGTCTCTAATCTGCAAAAAATATGGCAAAGTTGAAAAAAATCTACATTATCTCTTTGCAGTTTTTAAAGTATTTATCTCCACAGAAAAAAACCTCTAAATAAACTGTGGTACAACGAAGTGACTTAAAAAAGTCAAATATTTAGTTGAATGTAATTGTATGTGGAAATTAAAGTGGCTCGTAATCTCAAAATAAATACACCTTTCTAGAAGGCCTCATAGCTTGTTAGAAAACAAATCTCACTGAATATCGTCATAAGGACCACAAAGCTATTAAAGCAAATCTCTGATGAAGATCTGGAGAAGCATTTGGATCAAATTATAAAAAATATATCAAGCATTCACAATCTCCTGGAACACTGTTAAATTCATTAATAAAAAAATAGAAGATTTATGACACAGATGCTACCCTACCTAGAGGTTGTCCACCACTGGTTATTGTAGAGGTGCTGATCCAAAGTCACATGGGACAATGCTTCACAAGGTTGGCTTTCATGAAGGAATAACAAGAAGAAAGCCATTGCAAAAGCAAAAGAGCACTAATCCAACACTGGTCATTACCAAAAGAACACCATAGTGATTGTAGCATGATACTGATAGAAATTTTACCAGCAAGGACTGCACAATTGAGTAGGACCGATAAAAGCTAGATGGAGCCAAATACAAGGCAATTCTAGAAGACATTCTCTGAGGTAAAGTGTTACATTCTAGGACAGTGACTCCAAACACACATCCAAGACTGTACCAAAAAGTAAACCAAGAAGAGTTCCTGACAATGTGCAGACCTCAAAATAATCCATGGAAAGACATGAACTTTTCTGTTTGCCAGTGGTCTCAATCCAATTTGACAGAGTTAAAGCATTTTTTTCTAGGCAAAATTGTCCTTGCAAAATTTGTATAAACCTTGTCTTCAAAACTTACCTATAAAAACTAACAGCTGTAACCACATCCAAAGGCGCGGTTCTACAATTATAGTGAATAATTAATGCAACCAATAAATATCTATTTTTTGCTTAGCTTTTGTGTCAAAATGAAAAAAACATTTTACATTGTTAAAGCTGAACTCCAGAAAAAAGAAAAACCTACACTTGCCATGGGACTTCTCCACACTGAATGGGTTAAATGCTTGTTTTTTCTGAGGGCACTAGTAAATCACACTTTTTTTGTCTTTTACAAACCTTATCCTTTGCTCCTGCAGGCTCATCCTTCAACGCTACCAGCCCCCTGAGGCCTCTTCTCTTTGGTGCTCTGACATCAGCACACAGTGAGGCTGTCGAGGGCCTGCCCACAGCCCAGGGTGTCAGAGAAAAGCAGAGATCATTGACTGTCAGAGGAGCAAGGGATAAGGTAAGAAAAGGTGTCTTTTACTGGTACTCCAGGCAAAAATGAGCATTTATCTCTTGCAGTGCAGGGGCTGTCCCCCTATAAATGTAGTATTCTCTTTTCCCCTAGGTTGAAGAGGTGTAACCCTATCTTTACCAATGAGCTAATTTAAAAGTAGCCTGGACAGCAAGGCACTGCCTTTGACAAATATGATGCTATAGACTGTGGTCTGTTTCTGGCTTAAGCTGGCTATAGATGGAGCGATTGTCTTTTCTGCAAGCATGGAATTAAGGTGTATATATTATTAGCATATACTGTGTTTAAAAAAATAAACTTTCACAATTATACTGTTATTTGTACTGTCAGAATGTCTGTCAAAAATCATGTATCCCTGACAGGGGCGGACTGACCATTTGGAAACTCGGGCACTGCCCGAGGGCCCGGGGTCAGTAGGGGGCCCCATGAGATGCCCCTGGTACCTTTTTCATAGGCTTTTTTGAGTTTGGGCAAGGACACAGGGGGACAGATGATCCCCTATTGCCTGGGGGCCCCATGAGTTGTCAGTCCGCCCCTGGTCCCTGATGAAGCAGATGTGAACTATGAAACACATCAATATTCTACAGTAGGATATAACACTGTTAATGAATCTATGTGAATTTATTAAATCGATGTGTAATTACACGTTCAAGTATTAATATATGGTGGCTATGTATTCTTCCATCATTTTAATGGGATACAATAAATATTTAGTTACTAAGTGTTTTCTGAATTAAGAATGGTACCTTTAAAATCCCCTAGTTTTGAAGGTAATTTTCATCGTTTGGTACTGTCCTGCAACCCGTGGAAAGAAAATCACTTGATTCCCCTATCAACACAGTCATTGTTAATGGGGGAATCCCTCCTATGGAGCCATTGTTTTCCCCAGTGAGGGGGAACCGTCCCCTGTGGGAGAATGCAGTGATTAATGCTTGCGGCTATAATAGCCACTAGCAATAATCACATGTGAAATCAGACAGACTGGTTGTACCATTCTGTTGATCAATCGACCCTGCTGGAAAGGCCAAGATTTAAACTGCCTATGGCCGACTTTAGTTAGAGAAATGGCACTACTCATCATAGGGCTTGCTTTGGTAATACATTGTGTGCTGAATACTCAATATGTAGCGCTACCCGCTGTAAGAAATAGGCCTCCAACGGTTGTCCGGACCTTGCAAGTTTCCCGATTCCTCTGATACTGTGGATTCAGACATAATGCACACAGGAAACAGTTGTCCAGACATTTGAATGCAGTAATGCAGTTGAGTTTTTACTAAAATTATTCAGTCAATAAACCGTAAATTACAATTATGAGAATACCTCTTAAGCGGCAAACATCTTGCTGGAAATTCAAAACCATGACCACAGGTGAACTTGGAAGAGATAAACACAATAATTCAAGCAGGGTTTCAAATATGGCTAGTAAGGGAGGTCTCTGATTTCAGGTAAGAAAAGAAAGAGGATGACTTTATGATGTCAACCTGCTCTCTTAGAATCATGAAGCCACAGATCCTGAAACCAGCACTTTCTTATTATTAAATGTACGAGCTATGATAGAAAAACAGTTTTAAATAGAGTCCCCCTTTAACATATGTACATGAATATGCCCCAGGTCCTGGAATTGAGGAGTATCAAGGACAGCCCTGGTGGAGAGGATGTCCTGGGTCTTCAGCTACCGCAATAAGAACCCAAAGGTTTGCTGTGCAATGGCGACCAGCAATAATAATAATTTTTTTTATGTAGATGATTCCAGGTAAAGGACTCAAACTTGTAAGCAGGTGTAAGGTATAAAAGGTGTCTGCATGCAGTGTCCCTTGGTGAAAAGTGTGCACAGCGTGGGCTTCTGCCTGCTCACCAATTCTTACGATATTGCGGCTTAAGGGTTCTGGGGTGTCCTGGAAGGCTCCTATAGAATCTGCTACCGGTGTGGGGCACTCAATCTAGCGCCCTGTGACACTGGGATTCCGCTGAGGATAAGACGCTGACGATGCTCGCTCTCGGCTCAGTCACATCGATCAACAGGAAACTGCAGATGGATGTTCTAATGGATGGTCAATAGCTCACACACCAAGAATTCCTGCTCCATCTGGACAGCGCGACCTGCTCAGCTCTCCACAGCAGCCATGTCTCCAGATTCAGCCCATAGTCCCAAGAGGAAGAGCATTCTCTGGGCGAGTTCGGCTTATATATCCTCCCCCAATATGCACCTCTCCTCCTCCAGCCAGCTGAATCCTGTAGTTCCCAGCAGCATTGGTTCTTGACAAGTACCTTCTGTCCGGACTATGTGTCCCACAATCCCCGGATCTCTACGAGATCCTCCTCTCTCAATGTCATTGAACACAATGTCACTATTACAACTGGATACTAGAGGGGGCATTAGTTCAACACAGTCATTATTATAGATGTCTGGCAGTGGTACAGATAAGTGGAGCAGCACTGGGCTACAAATAATATACAAAATTATTGCCAAAAATAGGTAACATGCTACATCAATTTTAAACAAAATAGAAGCCCGTAAGAGTAAAGATCTCTTAAAAGAGAGATAACGTTGACGACTTTATAAGATGACACTAAGATGACTTTATAAGAAGAAGAAGTAGTCATTAAGGTGCCCTTGTTACCATTCCACTCTATTGCTGTGCAGTTCATTTCCAATGCTAAAGCTTCATCTTATGTGACAGAGGCAGGGAGATTTTAATATGTCAGACTGGAGTTGTTGCTGTAAACAGTGAGTTAGCTGTGACAATTTCTGAGAAATTTAATGGCTGTTCTCTCAGTTCTAATATCACATAAACCATCCAGATCTCTAGAGGAGACTAAGGGATGTTCCCCTGGTTTATTTTTGCTAG